CCCCTCCCCGCCCCCTTGTTGATCAGTGGCTCATGAGTGCCAGCTGTGCCCCACTCGCGCTCCACAGTCTTCACACAGGGCAGGCTGGGGTTGGCCTTCTGGACCACAGAGATCTGGCAGGTCTGCGAGTCGTAGTGGGCCTCACACCAGTCAGGGAAGTCGATGGGGTGCTGGGTGCTACAGGAGAGGGCACAGTGCCATCAGCTCCCCCTGATTTCTGCCAGGGGTCTTCTGGCAGGGCCAAGTGACTTCCTCTGTTGCCAGTCCCCTGGACAGCTCCTGGCACATCTGAGCATCTTGCTGTGCTGAGACACCCTTGCCCCTAGCTTTGCCTCCCCGACTCGTCCCTCCCCACTCAACACCCTGGTAGGATCCTGTCCACCTCTGCCCCTTGTGCCCCATGGCCTGGTGCCCCACAGGCCCCCAGGGCTCTGACACCTGTTGCATTTGCAGCCACTAGACCCCCTGGCTGCAGGCACAGGGGTGCCGTGGTGGGCAGCACTGCCACAGCAGCCCCCCCCAGTGCCCCCCGACCGCTCACTCACGTCTCGCAGCAGCCCACGCCAATGGGGTGCAGGCAGGGGCAGCGCAGGCAGTTGGTGCTCAGCCACGACTCCCCAAGGGAGAACTGCTTCCCTTCATACTCGCAGGGAGCTGCAAAGGAAAGGGTGGTGATGACACGTGGGCCTGTGCTGGGGCCAGTGGGAGCCTCCTTGGCCCTCCTGTGACTTGAAAGAGGACAGGGGAGTTGTCATGTCCTCCCACCCACCCTATGGTATGGAAGATACTTGGTGGTCTGTCTGACATGCTGCAGGTATGGCATGTCCATGCACCTGCCAAGGGTGTTGTGCCCATCCATCCTCTCCTGGCCGTGCCGTGTGGATCTCCCCCCTACCCTGCAGGCCTGGAGGAGAGGCAACTGGCTCTTGATTCCCTGGAGAGGGAAAATCCAGTGTCCCCTGTGGTCTGGGCATCTCTGCAGCCATGGGAAGAGGCAGCAGAAACGAGCAGCCCTTCTCCCTCTGCGGCTAGTCCTGTATGCTCAGTCCCAGCGAGGCTTGTGCCAGGAGCCTTTACAGCCCAGTAAGCTGTTTCTCAGCCAGAGCCCTGGGGAGCTGTTCTGTGGTTTATAGACTGCTCCCTCCACTCACCACTGGCCCACGGTCACGCTCCTGAGAAAAAAACCCTTACTTCACGGGCACGGGGCAGAGCCCTGCCACACCAGAAAAGCTGTGGCCTCTTCCCATCAGACTCTTCCCATCTCACCTCCCCACTTACCTTTAGCCTGGAAGTAGCATTTGGCCTGGGAGCCCGGTAGCTGGAGGAGGAGGGAGAGAAGCAGGCAAAGCCTGCCCCAAGCACACCCCATCTTCTGTGTTTGCATGGCTATGGCTGGTGTTGAGCTGGGCTTGTTTGCCTTACTTCTCTATTGCTTTTGCTCCTTTCCCTTCTCTTTGACTCTCTCTCTTTCTCTCTGCCTTTTTAATGTTCTTACTCTGATCCCAACAAGAGATATTTATAAAGTTCAGCTTTACGACCCTGGCCACCAGCTGTGCCCCACTGGAAAAGTTGTAAAACTCATTTCCTGATTTGAAAGGCATGAAAACAAGAGGTAGGATCAAGATTTTTAACAAGCTGTGAAAAGCTGATTCATGCCCTCCAGAAATGTCTCCAGTTGGACACCCCTGTGGGTGCAAGGCTACACTGCAAGGGGAGATCCAAGGGTCCCCAGCAGGGTTGCCCTTGGCAGTGTGGTGAGCACATAATCAGCAAGCTCAAGAGATCTGGGTCAGGACCAGGATTGCTCCAGGCTACCCTCTGGTCACGTTGTCCTGTCTCTGATCCTTC